GGACTTTTATATTTAAAGTCATTATACCTATATTAAAACAAACTAGTTAGTATAGAGATGTTGTCATATCAGTTTCACTTATATATATATATATATATATATATATATATATATATATATATATATATATATATATATATATATATATATATATATATATATATAATATACATATATATATATATATATATATATATATATATATATATATATATATATATATATATATATATATATATATATATATATATATATATATATATATCGGTATAATTCAACTCAAAGTCAACCATTAAGACTTATATTGTGAGCTGAAAAAAAGGATTTTGGGTACATTAAGAGTGAATTTATATATACAGCTAGATAGAGCAATTATTCATTTTTATATATTATACATTATAACTTTTAATGAAGATATTTACTAAAAAGTTATCCTGGAAAAAATATCCAGGTGTAAATTATTGTTCAATGAATTTATTACCAAGTTATTATTCAGTAACAATTAGTTTCATTCCGAGCGTTGTTTATAAAATTAAGTGTAAACTTCTAATTTGATGCTAGTCTGGAAACTTCTTTGAAGGTAACTGATGGAGACATAGAAGTTAATTCCGCTGCCATTAACGCCTTTAATGGCAATTTATATTTATATGATTAAAACTTTATTGTTATATCGTCACCAGTTTGTTTTCTGCAAACTTGTAAAGTTCTCAAAATAAAGTCATAAGTAATTAAGACGATTTCTTTGATAGAAATCTTTTCATTTTATTTTGCTTTGTATTGCTGGCTTTTCTACCTAAAACAGTTTTTTCAACTGGATCGTTTGATAGATTTGAAGGAGTTGTACGGCCACCTTCTTGAGAAGCGACTTCTTTGATAATTGATTTGATTATTGGATCTACGTTTAACGTACTGGCAACAGAAAATTCTTTATATAAACAACCTGTACTTGATGCAAAATTTTCAACGTCTTTTCGTGTTACTTTTCTGGCGTTTTCAAGCTCAATCTTGTTGCCACCAAGCATTATTGGAATATTTCTTGTAGAAGGAGAGGAGCGAATTGAATTAATTATGTTTTGAGCATTAATTGCACTGTTTTCTGAAGTTACTGAATACATAACAAGGTACGCATCTGCTTGGTCAACGTAACTGCTCCATGTCTGTCGAATAATAGAACATAATATAATATAATATTTAAGCTAACAATAGTTTAATCAAAGAAAAAAATATCTCAAATCAATATATTTGCATTTACACATGTGTGTGTTTGTGTACAAATAATCAAATCCCTAAATAGCATATTAAGTCATTACCTTAATTACTGTGTCCCATAATTTTACAGACACTTGCTCTCCGGAAAACTCCAATGACTTTTCGTAAAACCGTTCTAAAAAATTTAAATAATGTTTTGGCATTAAAAAATACCGTGTAACGATCTAACGTCACATTACAACTTACGATAAATATCTATAAAAGATATAAAGATGTTAAATAAATTTTTATACTTGACTTTTTTATTTTGTGACGCTAAGGTCAATATGAAAAAAAATTTCCGTTAATAATCTTTTTCGATACGACAGTTGACAAACTATGTCATTGCGTCATTGCAGCCTAAACGTCTAATATATCAAATTTCTCAGCAGCTTATAAATTCTATTTAATTATTGTACAAAGCATATACTTTACAGATATGCTAAATAATTAAAAAAAAAAAAAAGAAAAATGTAAAGAATTACTCTGAGTAATATACTATTTTAAAATATTAATTTTTGACTTGATTGTTTTTTCTTTGAAATTTTTCAGAATTATTAAGAGGTTCCAATAACATCATTTAACGTATGTGTAAACTTTACTTTAAAACTGTTCGTAACCATAGAAACATTTTATTAATCTTTCTGTCTTTCATTATTAAATTATATATCAAATTAAACATTAATTTAGAATTAAACATCCAAATCGTTTATATAAAGTTGGCGTGCTCACGCACTTTAAATACCCGTAACAAAGTAACACCCTTATTCATTTAAATAAATTCAAAATATTCGTATAAATAATTCATTTTAAACTAAAATTGAAAATTTATTTAAATATTTTTAACTCATTTTATTTTTTCATTTAATCCGAACATAAAATATGCATTTTTACCACTAACCTAACTTTGGATCGTATTCATGAAGATAGCGCCTTGTTACAAAACGTACGGCCAGTGCTAAAAATAAGAGAAGGAAAAAAAAAAGCTCAATTTAATTAAATTTACAAATTTTAGAAAATAAATCTACTTATAAATTATTATTAAAATCTTAAGTTTGCTGGAAACCTGATAGATTGCAAAAATATAAACACATAGTATTAACATCCATAATAAAAGATACAAATATATAATACAATATATCTTTAATATATATAATTACATAATATTAAAAATCATAAATTTTTCAAGATATCATAAATTTTACAAGAAATTAGTAGAGTTTGTCAGACAAGATCAGATTGATTTAAATGTAAGCTGATTTAGATGTTCTCAATTAGATTTTTTGATAAAATATATTTTCTTAATACCGATAATATTTACGCAAATATACCAAATACAAAATATAAAAACATACTCAGATCTTTTTATCAAATGACTGATAAGAGTTAAAATGTTTTAAATCAAGTTTTTATTTAATATTGAGAATATTTAACGTTTTGTTTAAGAATTTTTTTTTTAATGTTCTAGAATGTTTTTAAAATGCGTTTTTTTTATTAAATATAAGCTTTATTTACATTACATGTTTGTTTTTTTTAATTTCGAAACAACTTATACTAAATAAAAAATATAAATGAAAAATATAATAAGTAAACTACAATAAATAAACGTAAATGTAATGTTAATGCTTCATAATTACCTGTTTTTCCGACTCCTAAATCGCCAAGTAAAACTATGTTACACTCAGTAATCTTATCAGGAGTTGGTATTGTCCTGCTAAGTGTTCGCTTATGTCCAGTTTCTTTTTTTTCTTCAAGATTTTCCTTATTGCTTTTGACATCTGTGCTAGGCAGTCTTTCTTTCTTTTTAAAGCTGCTAGATTTCTCCAGTTTTTGTGGTGCAAGCAATGGTGCACCAAGCATAGTATTAGGTTTTTGGGATGAAACCGTCGGTGCAACGAGTATAGTACTTGGATTAAAAACTGTTTTTGTATCTTTAAACTGATCATCCCCTTTTGTTACTCTTTGTTGTCTATGTTTTTTAACTTTTTTGAGATTTTTAGATTCTTTTTTATCTCTGTTATCTGGTTCTGGAGTAGTTTCTGGTGATGACATATCTCCATCAGAACTAAATGTTCTGTCCTCTGCTTCTGCAACCTAAAAAAAAAATTATTTAAAAACAATCATTCTACAACAAATTTTTATAGAACCTACCTACCCAGAACATGTTTACCTAACTACCTACCTACCCAGAACATGTTTAAGTTTTAGAACATAGTTCATATTTAAATTAAAACCGCTTTTCTTACTTAATCCAAAGTTTTCACTTACCTTTTCAATCCCTTATTTTTAGACTTAATATACAATTAACTTACCCCCATTTCTCCTACTTGCTGCAATGTGTCACTTGATATTCCACTAAATGTTTTTGCTCTTAAGGATCTATTTCGACGTTCTGTTTTTTTCATTTTATATTAGTATTTATATCTTTATAGATGAAGAGAAGAAAGTATGTAATAAATACTATATTTTTTAATGCTTGCGATAAAAAAATTAGTTAAAAGCCTACAGACGATTAAACGATCTCGAGACAACAAAAAAATATATATATCCTTTTAACTATTGTCTTTATTAAACACAAGCATCAGATATTAAAATATTGTCCATTAATGATATTAGTATTTTAAATGCAAATCAAGTTCGGCATTGTCTTTTAAGATTCAATGTCATTGATGCTTTACGATCACAATTTTGAACTGATATAACTTTTGATATATTTATAAGAATAACGGGAGTGAATAAAACTTAATAAAAACTATTGAGGAAAGCTTAACACCTTGGACGATAATATAATTGTAGGATTAATAAGAGAAATAAGGCATGTAAACAGAAGGAAATAGTCATGTGGTATTATCATACCACAAATTTATTAAACTCAGAATAGGATTTGAACTGAAAAACAAATTGTGGCGAATGGTTGATGCATATTTTTTAAACTATTAAAAATCTACTTTCAATCCATTTTCATAAATTGTTTGCTTAGACCATAGATTTAGTAATCATTGTTTCTTCTAGATAATTTTTAAATTTTATGCTTTAAAATATATGCAGGTTAAGCGAAATTATTTCTCAACCTGCGCATAAATGGCAAGCGTATAAATAATTAACCAAGGCATTCGCGTAATCCATAATAATTTAGCTAATACATAACATTAAAACTTTTAAATATAATAATTATGATTACAAGTACAATAATTTGATTTTAACATACGTTGTCTCACCCAACGATAGAGTGCAAAAATATCTGATGGTATAGAAGAGAAAACTACCTTGAGTAATTTTACCTAATTGCAACAGGTTTATCATAAATAAGATGGTTTTTAAGACTTGATAAATCCGTACATATTTGCATGATTTTAATTCGAACTTTAATTTCTTTTTTTAAATTTTTTTTTAGTTTTTTTTACCTACAAGTATTTTTATTTATATAAATAAGACAAAAAACTTAAAATGTCAAACTTTGCGTGAGATTGATAATAAAATGCTTTGATCAATGCTGGATATAGCGCTTATTAGATATTTTTTTAAAATTAATTAACTGTACTCGAGAGCTATTATTAATTTTTTAAAAGCAAGTGATAAAAAACAAAAAAACAATGTTGACATGATGTTATGTTGCGTTGTTGCGCATTACAATATGTTGTCAACAGCAATATTGATTCCTTTAGCGTTGAAAAATTTAAGGTTTTCAAATTTTTGAGCTCATATATGCCGAGTGCAGTGGGTGTGTTAATGCATATAGATAGAGTATTCACATAAGTTCTGATGTTTTTAAAATAGAGCATGCATAATATCTCAATAAAAATTGTGTCACTTTTATTTTGTAGTTTTCTTTGAATTTTTATTTGAGATGCCTTCCAATGATGAATATATACTGCCAAGTTTTGTATGATTTTGTATAAATACCAAATTTACATGTTTTGCAAAAAACCGAGCCAAAGAGAAAAAACTTTTTACACTTAATAATAATCATCAGATAAATAATAATAAGAAAAATTAGAAAAATATAGTAAAAAGTAAAGAGGAATTGGTGAAAGGAAATTATGTTAAAAGTTAATAAAATCTCAATTTCTTAATTTTTAAAAGTTATCAGAAATTTATTTTAAAGAATATTTTGTTTTTATTAATTTATTCTGAAAAAATTTTTTTCAAAGTATAAACTTCGTAGTATAAACTTATAAAGTATAAAAAGTATAAACTTCGTAGTATAAAAAGTATAAACTTCGTAGCTTGAGTATCTTTAGCAATAAGCTTTTTAGTTGTCAATTAAAGCACAATGAAGGTACATAGTTAATTATTCCTTTATAATACTTCTATATAACTCTATTAAACTTGATTGAGTGACTTCATTAATACATCAATACATTGTTTTCGATATTTTATAACAATTTTGATTAACAAACTTTATTTCAGTTTAGTTAGTAATTGACTCTTCCCACCGGGCATTAGTTTTTAAAAGTTACGTTCTAAATGTATTTTAAATGTCTCATAACGTCTTCTAAACATTCTTACGTGAAAAACGTTTAAAAGACGTTTAAAAAACATTTAAAAGACATTTAGAACGTAACTTTGAAAAACAAATGCTCGTAGGGTTAGTTTTTCTTAATTACTACCAAATAATTATTTTTGGTTTTGCCAGAAAATCACTTACAGTTACTTTAGTAAATTTCTTTTAGAAAATTTAAAATATAGATGGTTGACAATAAAGCATAACATACAGACCAAAGGTGCTGTTTTAACAAATAGTACTTTTTTTGTTTTTTTATTTATTATTTTATAAACAGATAATAACCACCATTCCATCAGACACAATAACTTGATGAAAATGTAAAACCAGATTAGTATTTTATCTAATATTTTCCTAATCGCCACGTTTCAAAAAAAAATTTTTTTTTTGGTTAATAGGCAAGGTAGAGGGAAAAGTCCCTTTTATAAGAATAAGTCACCGAATTTAAAGAAAAACAAGCCGTCTAACTCCAAATTAAATATAGTTCTTTTGAATCAATGATGTTATATCGTATACAACTAAATGAAGTTCGAATTTATTAAACAAAAAACAAATAGGATAATATACTTAAAGTTTTGTTTTTTACAAGGATAAAATACAACTTTAATAGTTTTGGGATTTACACTTTGGGTTTCTGGTTTTACTTTTGGTACTCTTAGAAGAAGTTTACAGGTTTGTTTTGAGATCCTAAAGGTATAATATATGTTTATTGATGTACAAGTCAAACAAAAACACAACGTAAGAATAAAAAAAAATTACCTTGAATTTTAACATTAGCTTCTAACAAATGATGTAACTCAATGTAGTCTCAAATGTAAACCTAGCCTTGTCTTTTTAATTTTTCTAGATTTTTTAGACATTTCACACATTTTAGTCATGTTTTAGATATTAATTCTGATATTGTATTTATATCTAAACTGTATGGATATAATTATGATATCTAGATTATTTCTAAGTTTAGCTCTGTCTATTAGATTATAATATCAACAAGACATGTTTATAAAATTTTATTTATGTTTAAAAGCAATATATATTTTTCAAAAACACGCCTATAGCTGATCAAGATAAAGATTTATTAAATTTAAACTTGAAATATAATGCCTAATAAAGTATAAAGATAAATGTATTTTGTAGGAAGAGCCCTCCTGTTGGACTGTTTGTAGTCGTAATATAATGAAACTATAGTTGAAAGTTGCAAAAAACACGGAGAACCCCAATAAAATAGGAAACTATTAATTTTAAACTTTTATTTTTGTTAATTACATTTTTTTAAGTTCATTCTAACTAATAAATAATTATTATTTACTAATATTATTAACTATAGCTATTTATTTAATTATTTTAGTATTATTATTTTTTAGTAAAACAAGAAAACGATAATTAATTTGAAAATACCTATTACGTATTATATAGTATATGTATTAGACTGACGAATTGACTTGATTTGAAATTTTTGTAGAGGTGACGTGGTTTGAAATGAATTTATGTGGGAGTGACGATTTTTGTAGAATTTTTTAGAAATTATCTTGGGGCTCAATGATAAGACTAAATTTGTCTTCTTCTAGCCCCGGCCATGTAATTACTTTTTTTTAAGTTTCGACTGTAAATTTTTTTTATCGGCAAAAGTGTAAATAAGTTAATAGCATCGCGCTATCAAAATTTTATTTAAAAATGATGAAAAATGACACCCAAAAATCGTAGAGCTCTGAAAATAAAATTAGCACTTAAAAGTTGTTGTAGACCGCCCTGGGACTAATTACAAAGTCATTTTCAATATGAGTAATTTTAGGATCGGTGAATAAAAAAAAGGAATTCTATTTACTCAGTTTTTTGGAGCAGCTGTTCAGCATTACGCGAATAAAAATTTTAGCAAACTCACTCAAATTTTACATGAATAAAAGTTTGAGCAAAATTGGTGAAGTTTTATTTACTTTAAGCTGACCAATTACTGAGTAAAAACAATTGTTTTTTCTTTTCCTTTTTTCTTTGTAAAAAATTTTGTTTAAAAAGAAAAAGGGCCATAAGCGCCTGTTCCAGTTGAAGCGGTTAAACAACGGTCATGTGAGAGAAAATTGAGTGGCCGTTGTGCAGTGGTAACGCAATTACTTCAGAAACGTAAGATCCGTGGTTCAGACCCCACCTCGAGGCAAGTTATGCGACGTCGGTTGGGAAGGAGGCGTGAATTTCCTATTAAATGCTTTTCCGTGATGCTTTGTGATAAGATTGTAAGGACTTCTTGGGACACCAAAAAAAAAAAAAAAAATAGCGAAGGAAAAGGAGGGAGCGCGTTTACGTACACGTGGTGCACGTCCGAAAAAATCTTATTGGGTTCCAGAATGTCTACGAGATAGAGACTAAGTATTTTAAAGAGAGTATAAAAGAAAATCCAGAGGCTTCTAAAGGAGAAGCTAGGACTGTTAGAAGATTCCCAAATCCAGAATGTGTTTAACATCAAATGATAGAAATAAAGCAAGAAGATTCACGGTTTAGTCACTCAAATTTAAGGGAAAAAAAAATTTCATTAATAAAAACTTTAATGGTGAAATTATACAAACTCGAAATTCATGCAAATGCGCTAAAGTATGGTAAATTAAAACGTCTTTTTGTCATAAAAATGTTGAACATAAATAATCGCGTGGATAAAAAAATAAGAATAAAAACGCATTTATATGAGACTTTTATAATATTTATCTTTTTAAACGATATGATAACAATAACTCAACCTTTGATAATAATATAAATGACGCAAAAAATATTATTTAATGTTGAAACAAAAAAGGTACTTAAGATCTTATAAAAATGAGCTTTTTGACTGAAATATATATATAAGCTGTCTTGACAACATGTAATAATACCTGAGCAGTTTGAAAAAAGAGAAAGAACAAATACTTAAGCATTGTGAAAAATTTTGAAAAAGTATTTTGATTACTCTTTATCTGTTTGATATTTCAGAAACTTGTGGAAATGCAGAGTTGTCAATGTCAGAAAATTCTCTATATAATTTTGCTGGTATAAAATGGTAAGCTAACTACGCGTAATCAGCAAGAGAGGAGGCGTTGCAATTTACATTCTTGACAAATTTGAATTTTTATCAAAAAAGATATTTAGCAAAACAAAAAAATATATTTAAACTTTGCGTATTGA